CGGTAACCTGGTTGCCGAGTTCACGAAGTGAATTGGCTTGTTTTACAACGTCTTTGCCAAGCGACGAAAACCCAATCCCGATGGCAAACACCGGGGGGGGCGGCTTGTTTTACAACGTCGTTGCCAAGCGACGAAAACCCAACCCCGATGGCAAACACGGGAGGGGGGAGGGGCTTTTGGTGGCATTGTTAGGGCCCGCATGCAATCAAGGAAAAACTGGTTGTGGTTTTTTTCATCTTAACATCCACCTACTGCTGCTGTCGCATGGAGTTTCTCAAAAGTTTTCGTCACCATTCCGGTCTGTACAGCAGTATATTGGTGGGATTGTTTTTCTGATGAGCCAGAAGTAGCGGTTCAGAGTGAACGGGTGATGGGAGACAAAACTCGAAGCTCTGAGAGCGTATGAATAACTCGTTTTCCGAAAGAGAAATTGCGTACGTAGTCGGTCCGTACATATTTATTTTCTTGATATTCTTGTGTGCACCCTTCGTCGGTGAGTCATGATAGACTGTGGATGGCGTCCACATCAGTGGGACCAGTACAGATGTAACGGTGCGTAGCAGAGGACGAAGCAGTTGTTGCATACATGTGAAGACAAAAAAAATATCCTCAAAATGTGAGCTATTCTTGTCGGTCAAATACCAGCTAGCCGCGGCTGCGACTTCGGCCGCGTACCCGTGCTTGGGACGCGGTTGGTAGAATAAACAATGAAGCGTAAGCGTGGAGGGTTTCCGGCGAAGCTGTTTGAAAGTGTCTCCAAACACCACATGCTTAACCAACGACGCGATCCATACCACCACCCGTGTATCAGCCGGCTAGCGTAGGTATCTGCACACCGAGGCCAAAACTGCAACAAAACACCGGCCATCCAACCTCGCCTCGAGACACGGCTGGTTGAAGCTATAAAGAACCATCATATAGACTCGGCCGCGTGATAGGAGCCCAAAGAACATGTTCGTGGGTCTACGGACATGGTTTGGATACATTAGCCATACGTACAAGTGTGACGCAGATGGTGTAGAACCTTTTAGGTAGGGGTACGGTGATGATGCACCGGGACCCCCTTTGTTGAGTGCAGCAGCCGCGCTGCCACTCTCTCTTTCTCCTCCTGCTTTCCGAGCACGACAGCGTCCTGGGTACGGGCGTTGTCTCACCGTCTGAAGTTAATACACTACACAAACAAGTCCCGATAAGTACGCGGAGTACGGCCGACAAACAC